CTTGGAGAAAGCAAGGGCCTTAATTTGGGGCCTCCAAATTGCAACTCTGGGAGCACATATTCCAGAGTAACCAGAAAAGTGTCCCACTCCAGTAGGGAAAGCAAGGCGGTTTTATGAGAAAGAATAAGGCAATCACGTGATTTAGATAAGGAAGAAAAAAAACCCTGTAAGGGGCACCTGGGTGGCTCAGTCGTTAAGTGTCTTCGGCTCAGGTCATGATCCCAGGGTCCTGCTCCGCGGGAAGCCTGCTTCTCCCTCTCCCACTCCCCCTGCTTGTGTTCCTTCTCTCACTTTGTCTCTCTCTGTCAAATAAATAAAATCTTAAAAAACCAGACAAACCCGTGAATTCAGTGCAAACCAGCTGAGCCACTTTTGATTACCAGCTAATCAATTTCTTTCTTAGTGCCCTCAAACAAAACTATTCCTGGTATGCGTTCGTTAACTCTCTTCGTCAAGTTCATATCAGTAGTTTGTGGTCAAATGCCAGTCATCCCGTTGGATTTTATGAGCAACTGCTTGTAAAACAATTATGGATTCTGACCCAGTTCAAGAGCTCATTAGTTAGAAAGTAAAATGAAGCCTCAGCATGGAGTCCCTCATGCGCAGAGATGTTCGTTCACACTCCCAGGTACCAGGGATTAGGGCCATTGTTCAGCCCATCACAGAGGTGAATCCTCCCCAAGCTGAGCCTCCAGCTAAGAGTGCAGGTGCCTGGCCCGCAGCTGGGCCCGCTCCATGAGACACCCCCTGGGAACCTGAGGTACCTGCTGAGGAGCATGTGAATCCCTGATCTCAAGAAACCGATAAGAAATTTCAGGGATAAAACTTGGGATAATTTGTTATGTAATGATAGATTACCAACACGCCACGTCACTGCGCATGACAAAAGCCATAGTAGGGCCTCACGGAGCAGAAACAAGATGGGAAATCTGGATTTGTTTATCCCACTTGTTGATACCTTTTCATGAATACCCTTTGGTCTCATCACTGTACCGTTGATTGATGGGAACACACCTCCCTCCCCACAAGAGCACCTGCCACCCCTGAGCCATATCAGGGTAGCAGAAACACGGGGGCGTGGCTCCATGCCCCGGTCGCCCACCAGACGGCAATGACAGCAGATCTGACCAGCAAGGGGCTGTTCGGCAGCACCCAGGGGCAGGGGAGAAGGGAAGGTCCCACAGGGTAAGGGAAGCTATGGGAGACTGTACTCACACAGCGGTCAGACCGTCTGTAAGAACAGAGCTCTTGCAGCCACCTGCCCAGGAAACCAACCTGTTCTCTGCAGCGACCAGCCCAGGTAGCCAGCCCGTTGTAAGTCAGACCGTAGGAAGCCCCACTGCTCTCTACCGACAGTCCAGAAAGCTAGACAGTAATCTCCATGACCCATTAGCTCCAAATGACTAGGGTTTACTTAATAACTGACAGATTCCCTGATTCTTTGTCCCTATTCCTGATTTCGGACCAACCAGAGAAAGCCAAATATAGACCCCTAACCAGTCCCGTGGCACGCCTGCCTCTAGTTAGCCCTGCAGGCCTCCCCGGGCCACAGCCCCCTCCCGGCTCGGGAGCCTCCGGGGTTCCCACTGTGAAGCCTTGCCTCTCCTCTCCCCGCCCGGGGGCTCTGCCAAGCCCTCGGTGATGGTGGTTGACCTTGCAACAGTCTGGCTGAATAGCTTCCTTCTGCACTTGCTAGGAACAAAACCCCAGCCCCGCAGTAGCCGTGGAGGAGGAAACCATCGTGTGCATGTGTGTGTGCGTGCGTGCGCGTGTGTGTGCGTGAGTGAGTGACCCGGGCGTAAGAAGGAAGAGCGGAGGACACGTCTGTTTCTTTACTCCCGTGTTTTGTTCAAGGAGTGTTCCCCGTGGATGTAGGGACGGGTGTGGCAACATCCAAATCTTGCCTCCCCTTCCCTCTGTCCGCTCAGCTGGACCCCATTTCCCAGCCTGCCTTGCAGATAGGTGAGGCCCGAGGCCTGAGACCTGCCTGCGATGATCGTGGGAGAAAGCGAGCGACACCGCTCAGGAGCCCGGCTCCCCGAAACCTCCCTGCAAACCCCCTACACCCTCTCTTTTCTCACCTGCCGGTCAGACACAGAGGGTCTGGTGGGGGCTCGAAGGCCCCGGCGATGGGGGTGCCCCAGGGACCGTGTGGCTCAGCACCCTGCCAGTTGGCCGTGGACGTCGGTGATGTGAGCGGGGAGCACCCTCGGGTTGTGTTCAGCTGCGGAGATGTGGGGGTGCTGTTGCAGCCGTGGGCTTATTCTGATGGGTGCATGGCCCGCTCTCAGCCCCGTGCTCCGCCCTGCTGGGAAGCCGGGTGCCGTGCACCCCGGGGTGGTCCCCAGAAGCTAGGTGCCGCGCTAAGCCCTGGAGCCTGGGACCGTGCCCTGATTTGTTAGTATCATCTCTGCAGATGTCATTAAGTTATGGATCCCGAGATGAGGTCGTCCTGACCCAACCTGACGACTGGTGTCTAGAAAAGATAAAGAAAGGCGGAGGACATGGGCCTGGGAGACACGGAGAAGGCTGATGAAGACCGGGCACAGACCTGCCGTTGCAGGTGCCAGGCCCGGACCGCCCAGGATGGCTGCAACCACCCGCATCTGGGGGAGCGGCCTGGACACCTTCTCCCTCCGCTCCAGTGGACATCAGACCTCAAGCCTCCAGAGTGTGAGAGAACAGACTTCTGTGTGAAGCCATCCAGTTCGTGGTACTTCCCTGCAGCAGCCCCAGGACTCGGGGACGCCAGGCCTGAGCGCATTCCCTGGGTGTGGGCACCTGGGCCTGGGGTCGGTCCCGAGGTAGCAAATGAGAAGCTTTGGCGGAGGCTCTGTTGTGTGTGTGTGTGTGTGTGTGTGTGTGCCTGCACGCACGCTTGCACTTATATGTGAAATGGGGAAGCTTTGAATATGCAATTAATGGAACAAATATTAAATATCAGACTTTATTTTTCTCAGACTTTATTTTCACAACAGCATCTATACTTTAAAGGTTAAGAAGACAACAAAGGCACCAGGGACAGTGGGTCTTCTCAGCACTGCTATTTGTGTATGTGACCCAACTCATAAAATGAGGAGAAAAGTCCAAATTACAAAAGAAAAAAGAAAAGTAAAGGACACCAAAACTAAGACCAATATTTTCTCTTTCATACGCTCTTTTCATAACCATTAGCTTCAATATTGCAAAGGTTCCTCAAAATCCGGGACACTTTACAAGGTTCCCAGCCTTTGCCACTTCTATTCAAGGTACTATCAGAAGAGGAATCCAGCAAGGTAATGAAACGAAAGGCATCCAAATTGGAAAGGAATAAGTACAATTATCTCTGTTCACAAACTGTATGACTTTATATGTGGAAAACCACAAATATTCAGCAAAAACCCCCCCCAAAATGAAAGACAAAAACCTGTTAGGACTAATGAACAAATTCAAGAGTACCAAGATACAAAATCAACACATGAAAGACAGTTGCATTTCTGGTCCCTAACAATGAACGATCTGAAAAAGAAATGAAGAAAAACAGTTCCACTTACAACAGCATCAAAAAGAATAAACTACTTAGGGATTAAGTTAATCAAGGAAATGAAAGCCATACTGAAAACTATAAAACATTGCTCAAAGACATTAAAGAAGACATAAATACATGGGAAGACATCCAGTGTTCATGGATTGCAAGACTGAATATCGTTAAAATGCAAATACCACCCAAAGTGACCTCCAGAGTCAATGCCATCCCTGTCAAAATCCCAATGACATTTTTTGTAGAGAGAGAAAAACCCACCGTAAGATTCACGTGGAATCTCAAGCTACCCCGAAATTGGCAAAACAATCCTGAAAAAGAAGAAGGAAGCTAAAGACTCACACTTCTTTATTTCAAAACTTACTACAAAGTTACCATTATCAAAACAGTGTGGTACTGGCCTAAAGACAGACACAGACCAATGGACTAGAGCAGAGAGCCCAGAAATAAGTGCTTGCATATATGGCCAAATGATTTTTGATGGGGGTGCCAAGACCAATGGGAGAAGGATGGTCTCTTCAACAAATGGTGCTGGGAAAACTGGGCATGCACGTGCAAAACAATGAGGCTGGGCTCATCTGACACCACATAACACCTGCCTCACAGAGTATCAAAGAACGGGGTGTTAGAGCTGGCTGGGAGGGCTTTAGAAGGGAAGGCTGCTCTACAGACCTAGAGAGTAAGGGAGAAAGAGGTGTTTGATGGAGAGGAAAGAATCGTTGGCATTTTTGAACACCTGCTTTGGGACAGGTGTTTTGTAGAAATGGTTTCACTTAACCCTCCTAAAATTCCTCTGAAGTAGGTATTGCTTAGCATGACGAAGAAAATAAAATTAGGCGTAATCCTCCAATCCAGAGATGGCCACTGGTATGAACCTCTACATTAAAAAAAAAAATGCTTTTCTTGGGGCGCCTGGGTGGCTCAGTCAGTTAAGCATCTGCCTTCAGCTCAGGGTCCTGGGATCGAGCCCCGCATCGGGCTCCTTGCTCAGCGGGAAGCCTGCTTCTCCCTCTCCTGCTCCCCCTGCTTGTGCTCTCTCTGTGTCAGATAAATAAATAAAATCTTTTAAAAAATGTTTTTCCTTATTAAACTTCTCTTCAGGACTTAACGTAGCAACGGGAGCTCGTCACAGCCAGGGAAACAGTACACATTAAAATTGGTATTGCTCACGCTCGTTTCCCCTGGGGGCTCGAAACACGGCTACAGTCAACAACTGGGGGCTGTGGGGCTCAAGGACTGGAGAGCCACCTCCTTGGGGAGATCAGAGAAGGCCTCCTGGCGGAGGTGACAGCCCCGGGTCCATGTGGACTTCAGATACAAAGTCTGGTGCTGAGCGCAAATGCAGGACAGCAAAGGTGGATACAGGCGGCAACAGAAAAAGCTGGTTCCAAATGTGAAGCCACTTCTCGCATCCCCTTACAGTGAATGCACAGAAGAGAAAACCCAAAAGCATCGTTGCCCCTCCATGGACCTGCTCCCTTTAATTGCAGAAATTATAGAGAGCGCGCCGCGCCTGAGCCAGCCGGTATATCTTCTCCTTAAGGACTCTCCTCTTGGCGGAGGTGTCGCTCTGTTCCTGAAGCAGCCAGGAATAGTGCTCTCTCTCCTGTAGTATCTGCATCATGGCTTTCTGTAAGCAACTGCCATACTCTTGGAGTAGGAAATACTGAATTATGAATGGGATCTGGTTGGCGAGACGTTTGCTGGTCTCCTGGAAGAGGGGATAAGAAGGGTCAGCTGGAGGGGTCTTGGCCTGTGGTTGCAGCAAAGCCTTGGGATTCTTGGATCCATGGGTAATTGCCTCGATAGGTCCTGGTGGTCCCGTCCACTCCGCTGCAGTGGTCAGCACTGAGCTATGGGAAAGTTCTATCTGGGCTGCCTGAGTTCGACAACAGGTAGGTGTCCCCTCGGCTACTAAGAACCCACCTGGCAGGCTAGCAAACCCATAGCACACTTCTGGACATCCCAGCCTTCCTGGGAGCTCCGCCCCTCTCCTCCTGCACCCCCACCCCCACTCCACCTCCCCGGAGAGTCCTCGGGGCCCTGCGACCCCCTGGCCCCTTCTGGGAGCAGATTGGGACCTGCTTTAGTGGCCACCTCATTCCCTGTCTGCATAGGTAAGAAAAAGTTTGCCTGGCAGCTGGACCTCACATCTGGGTAACTACTTTCTTTTCTGATTCAGAAAAGGTTTCAGGAGGAGCACCTGGGGGGCTCGGCGGGTTAAGTGTCTGGCTCTTGATTTCGGCTCAGGTCATGATCTCAGGGTCATGAGATCGAGCCCTGCATCGAGCTCCATGCTCAGTGGGGAGTCTGCTTCTCTCTCTCTCTCTCTCCCCCTCTCCTTCTGCTCCTCCCCCTGCTCTTGCTCGCTCTCTCTTTCTCCCTAAAATAAATACATAAATCTTTAAAAAAAAAAAAAAAGGCTTCAGGAGGTTGGGCTTCTTTGCAGGTTAAAAGCTATTTTCCTTTCTATGCACCCCACATTTCTGTCCGTGGACGGAGGTTTGGAAACTCTGGAGGTGATCGGGTCACAGAATCTAGGGAAAGGAATTCTCATTCCTATTTTGTGGAGCCGGTGAGTTTGAGGCTGTTTGAGTCCTGAATGCCTTCGGAACATCAAGAAAAACTAAATGCTAACTGGTAAAGTTAATGCCTGTTGTATTTGGCTGTATTCTGATAATAGCAATTTTTTAATTCATGCATAGCATAAAATATAAAGAACTTTGCAGGTGGAATTCATGCTTTGTCACATTAAAAACCTGATTCCCAAATTCCCAAATTAATTAAAAGTTCCTAGACAGGGTTACAACTATATGTTGTGACAACAGGGTTATAGCCATAAATGAGACAATATGTGAGCACTTATCACTGCAGAAGGGGCTTCATATCGAGTGGCGGCCCCTCCCTCCTTCCCAGGCGAAGCAGCTTCAACCAGAATGCCTGGGGTCTGCGGGGCCAGGACCTCCGCCGCCGACCTATGTGCTCACCCAGAAATACGCATTCAGGTGCATCCCAATCTCAGTGACGGACGACACCGAAGACTGCTCTTTTGAGAATGACAGTTTCAACTCAGGATTCTGCAAGGGCTTTCCCACTGGGTTGAAAACCTCTTTCCGGACTTGGTTCAGAACCACGCTGTAAATCTCGTCTTGACAATAAACCAGCTGCTCCATTTGGAACTGAAGTCGGATCAGATTTTCTGCTGTTTCTGCTTGTCTCGTTTTTATGTCTTCAATCTTGTTCTGGTTGGATAAGAAAGAGAAAACACGTGACTTCTTGGCTCCCCCTTGTTTTTAACGTCGCAGGAAGTCCTATTGTGTTGGGATGGTATTAAACATAATTTCAGGTCCAAGAAGGCCTTGACTTTACAGGGCGACTCCGAGGAGGCCCGCGGCACCCCACGCTGCTGTCCTGCTCCACCCTGTCTCTCTCCCCTGCAGGGTCCTGCCCACTGCTCTGCGGCAGGCCTCCCCCTCTGCCCTGACCTCCCTTCGCTCCCACGTCACCATCTGCCTGCCTCCTTGATCGTGGTCTACTCTATGCTCCTACGTCCATCCCTCTGGTCTCTCTAATCGGCTTGAATCCATGCATTCGAGAATGAATCTGCACCAGTGAACACAGTGGGGTAACAGCTTGACATCTCTGTTTCCCAGAAATCCCGTGACTTCTGCGTCACCCTCGCAGTCAGAGGCGTTCTGGGAAGGGAAGGGGTGACGTGCTGGAGAAGAGCCCCTTCTTGGGGTCAGGAGCATGGGGGGGGGCAGGGGGCCAACCAGCGGGGCCGGGGAAGGACGGGCTGCTGGAGAAACGGTGAGCCAGGACCCGGCCTGTCCCCCATCCCCTGGTGAGGCACCCGAGGCCTCAGACGCAGCCCTTGGGAGAGATGGAGAGGTCAGAAGTCGGATTGAGTTTTTGACAACTGGCCAAAGGGGTAAAAGCAGACATTCGGTTGTTATGGGAAAATGGCAGAAATTCTCTTTCCTGCTCACCTGAGTTGTGGAATGAGATTCAGACCCACTGGCCCAGGCTTGGGCAGAGTAGGGTTTTTTATCTAGAGCCTGGGGATGGGGTGGGGGGGAACCAGGAACAGCCCTGGTTCCCATCACTGAAAGGGAAATCAGAGCTGTTTCAGTGGAAACCAACATAGCTGCAACAATATTTTTAAGTCCCACTTAGAAAGATTTTGGAGTAGGACTAGTGGACAATTCCGTCCCTTGCAGTAGAAAGAGATTCAAAGAACCGGGCAGTCACCAGCTATGTTCAGAGCATCACCACGGAGCCTCCAGCCCGCCGTGCGGCGGAAGCTCCTACAGACAGGGTGACTCGGCCGAGCGCTTTGTTCGTCCCTCGCAGGGAGGGCAGACTAGCCGCCACCAGCCCAGCCAGCCCTCAGTTGTAACCTTGGCCTCGGATTTCGAAACGACAGTAAAGACCCCACTTCTCTCAAAGGTTAGACCCAGATAAAAGAGCCAGCAGGACAGGTGACTGGCAAGTAGACTGTGGGTGCTTACCTGGGCCATTTGATTGAGGTTGGAAAACTCACTAAAATGCCTCTTGGCTGAATCGGCAAACGTTTGCCAGACAATTTCTGACCAAAGAAAGAACAAAGCATCCGTAAATCTCAAGCAGGAATAAAACAGGTTAGAGACACGGGGAAGTTAAATCATGTTACGTGGACCCCATTCCAATGTTGTGCTCCGCAGATCTATAGACCAAGAGAGAAGGAGGGGACAGTACATTGTCCCACGGAGACACAAAAGCCACCACCACCCCCACCCTGCCCGGGTCCTGTCCACTTGCTGTCCCTTCATGGAGTGTGTGCTCTCTCCAGGACTAGGACCTGGCTATACCCCGGCATGGTTGGGTGGAGGGGAGGAATAGCCAAACCGCACTCCTGTGCACTCTTGTCTTCCCTCCAAAATGGTCAAAGAAGATCTTCCTGCTTGGTTTGATAATTGCACCCCGATCCCTCCCTCTAAGGCATTGAGCCCTACAGAAGGTGGAAGGTACCGGGCTGGGCTGACCAAGGGCAAGGCACTAGGAGAGCTCCTCACCAACAGCCTTGTGGAGCATGGAGAGCGCGGGGTCTATCAGCTGTTCCATGTACTGGTGCACTATGGTCTTGAACGTCTTGTAGCTGACAAATCCAAGAAGCTCTTTGCCGCGATACTGCTTTTCATATATTGAGACTTCTTCGTGAATAATATTTTTAACTGCAGTATAAGACAAACCACCATGGTGAAGTCTAATGATTCCACAAACATTTTACAAATAGAAACTTTTTTTTTTTATTGGAGCCTTGCTCACCCACGGTACCCCAAGGCACTATTTCTAAATGGAGTTTTTTCATGATGAAAAAAAAAATTATGGTCTGATAATGCCAGTTTAAGGAAAACTGACTTTTAAGAAACAAAATTGTTATCCTATGGAAACGTATTTCAGTTGAGAGTCATCACCCTGAGAGACGAGCTTTGTGTTTATAACTGGTAGAAAGTACCGGATTAGTTCCACGAAAACAGAAACTTAGATATTATTACAGCACTTACAGATCTCCCAAGAACACATCCAGACTGCAGTTGGAGGAATCCTACCATGGACAAGAACAGTGCTGTTTTTATCAAGTGCCAAAACAAAGATACAACACACACACACACACACACACACCCCCTCCAGGCATCTGGGCTCTGGCAGAAGGGAAACTGGAACTTCCTCGGGCAAAGCAAGGAGATTCTTATCAAACCAGTGACCTCTGCAGTGTTGCATTAGGGGCGAAGAGAAGAACGCAAAGGAGGTAAGTAGAACTGTCTAGTCTCCAAAGAAGCAAGAAGAAAGCTGGAGGTGGTAGAATTGTCTTTTGGTGAGGGCAAGGCTCCGCATCGATGGCTGGGAAGCAGTGATCCATTGCTAAGGGGCCCCATGGTGTCTTGTGTGGGCATGTTTGGCTGTTTGCACACTTCTTCTGAGCCAGAAGTAGCCTCTGGTCTTGGTAAATATGACCCCAAGATGTTTAGGGGGAGCCTTGTCCCACGACTTACCTTTTTGGTTATTGGCTGTGAGTACAAGTAGCCAGCTTTCAAACTCCTCCCTGATTTTGTTATATAAGCGGGTATCTTTCTTCTTTACTTCTTCTTCTCCCTCTATTAACTTTTCAATTTCCTGATTAAACACCTTAATTTTCTGAAAATGGGATAAAGTCATCAATCAGGGCTGTAATCACATTAAAGAGCTGGGGCCTGCTTCGGGCTGCAGCGTGTGGTGTTGGGCAGCGGGGGGGAGGCTGCCAGAAATCTGGTCAGCCACCCAACCACTCCATCTCCCAGGCGAGACAAATGGCGGGCAGCTCCCTGCAAAACAGGGCTCCCGGCATGCCACAGGCAGGGACATGTGGGGGCCAGCTCAAGAGGTGCTGGGCCGGGCGCCTGGGTGGCTCAGTCGGTTAAGCGACCGCCTTCGGCTCAGGTCATGATCCCGGGGTCCTGGGATCGAGTCCCGCATCGGGCTCCCGGCTCCGCGGGGAGCCTGCTCCTCCCTCTGACCCTTTCCCCTCTCGTGCTGTTTCTCTCTCTCTCTCTCTCAAATAAATAAAATCTTAAAAAAAAAGAGGTGCTGGGCCACCAGGGAGGATGTGGCCATCTACAGGGATCTGGGTGCCTGAGGGTCACAAGGGTCCCCAGTCATCCTCACCTCGATCAGAAAGAACATTCTATCCGCTTCATTGCTGGGGATGTTGTCTCCGCACTGGTGCAGTTCCTCTGTCGCCCTCTGGTGGCTCTCCCTTATTTGCTTTTCTAACAACGGGAGTGATTTCTGAACAAAATAAGAGCAAACAATGAAACTCTGCAGCTTGATGAAATTGGCTGACAGGTTTCTTAGATACATGGGCGGAATCCCATGTGAAAGCTTTCAAGGGGATCCGGAATCTCTATTATTGTGTGAAGCTTGTTAACACGGACACCTGTTAAAGAGCCCAAGGATGGCTCTGCATGCAATGGGTGTGCACCACGGCCTGAATGACCTCGTGTAGAAATTTGCTGTTTTGTTAATGTCATTGGAGTGGGGCGGAATCAAGAGGTGGCCAGGTTTTGGTTCGGCTTGGTGCTCTGTATTTAGAGAACAAGTAAGGGCGCCTGGGTGGCTCAGTTGATTAAGCATCCGACTCTTGGTTTTGGCTCAGGTCGTGATCTCAGGGCTGTGAGCTCGAGCCCCAGGCCCGCCTCTGCACTCAGTGGGGAATCTGCTTGGGATTCTCTCTCCCTCTGCCTGTGCCCCTCCCTGCCGCTTACTTAAAATAATAAGATCTTTTAAAAAATTTTTAGAGAACAAGTACACTTGAATGTAACGTAAGCTTTCTTTAGTAAAATGTTCTGTTGGTGATCATTTGGGTGTTATAAACTGATAAACGGTGCTATGGTAGAGGGTGTATGTTGGATATCGGTGTCAGGCTGGGTATAGTCCTAACCCATCAGCGGTGCTGATACTAAGGAAGGGGAGGAGAAGGAAGGACATGGAGAGGCACCACGGAGGGCTGTCTTTGGGCCAAATGCCGTTCTGCACCCCCCACATCTCAGTTAAGCCCCACACTGAAGGACAAAGCACATGGCTTTACTGTCTCTTTGATTTACGAGAGAGGAACCTAAGGCTCAGAGAGGCAAATCGCCTGATCCTGTCACCGAGCGAATTAAGTGGTGGAGTCCCAGTGCACACCCTGCTCGCCGCCTCCCCAGCCCGCGCAGGTGGACACGAGGCCTGAGGGGCCAGCGGCCCCAGCGTCTGCTGCTTCGGTGAATGGGAACACTGCAGGCAGGCAGGAGGAGGGCGTGGGGGCTTAAAGGCAGTTTGTGGATTAGCATCCCAAGCCCGGGTAAGATGCTGACGAAGGCAGACGACACCAGAAGTAATAAGGTCTCACAGGGGCTTTTGTTTTGTTTTGTTTTGTTTTGTTTTCAGGCAGTTTGAATCTATGGTCAGAAATGTATTCAATTTTTTCCTGATGTTTCAAATGATCATTATCATAAGGGTCTTGTTATGAATTTTAAAAATGAACTTAGAATACCACAAACGTACAACTAAAGTTTTAATGTAAAATATTTAAATGCTAAGAAATATATCATCAAAAATAGTTATCAAAACGCAATGTCTTTTCGCAAAAACAGTTTTTGTCAATGAGACGGGGCTGTGTCCTTTAGACAGGGTATGTCTTTTGAAGCCCTCTTGTGCAAATGAAGGGGGTTCCACTGGAATCAGGGCTCCTCAAAGTATGTTTCCCGGACCACCTGGGAAGTTACAAGTGCAAATTCACTGCCTCCTACCCTCTAGATTTACTGACTCAGAAACGTGAATTGGGACCCAGGAATCTGAATTTAAATAAGCTTTCCAAGTGACTCCTGTGTGCAGTTTGAGAACCACGGGCCCCGTCCTACCAAATGTTCCTGGAGTATGTGTTTCCTGGCTCGGAAGAATTCATTGCTTTTGTCTGGCAGGCCGGTAAAATAATTGACGGTTTCATTTTCAAGGTCGACAAAATGTTAACCTCTTGCAAAAGGATACATTTGCTAAGCACGTGTTCATTCCTTTTACCCTTCTAAAGTGGCTTATCATGTTCCTCCTTCCCTTGTTGCTTCCCCCAAATTGATGGATTCAGCAATTGCTTCAACATTACACGGCTGTTGCTTCCAGGTTTTGGAAGCTCTGCTGGGAACCTCTGACCATGAGCGATTTGGTTTTCAGAACGTGCTTGTCTGCTGGCTTGTATGGGCAGCTCGGGGGTGTCGCAGCCATCTCCTGATGGAGGGACTTGGGTAGGCTGTAATTTTTACAACTCGCAACCCAACCTGTTGACTCACATTGATGTGCAAGATGAGTTCATTGGTCAGTCTTTCTGCCAGACAGGGCACTGTAGCCTTTCCTTCCTCCAGGAGAACTCTGAGACAAGACAGAACACACAGGCGTTCAGGAAGGACCCTGGTTATCAATACTGTCAGGAAAACCTCGCTGAAATGGAGGCAGGAGGCCAGAAGGGGGAGCTCCCACGCCATACCGTGGTCTAAGAAGTGTCCACTCCGGACCCAGCAGAAGCCTCCTCAACAGGAGAGAATCATCAGCTTTGGGCCCCACAAAAAAGGATGTGCACCGTCTCTCCTACAAGCAATCCACCACACTTGCAATTCAGCCAAAGAAAAACTGTCAGCACCCTGAACGCTTGTCTTTCTCCAATGGACTGAGTTCAAAACAACCCAACTTCTCCTTCTTCTCCATAAAATAATGTTCTTCTCCTTTATTTGTTGGACTTGCCTATGGTTTTGCCATGACTCACTTACCCCAGATTGCAATTCTCTGTTATTCCCAAATAAATTCATTTTTGCTGGAAAAAGAACTCACTGTTTTATTTCCAAGGTTATTCAACAACCTATATGATCATTTTTCCTATTCTGGCCTTTATTAAGTGTCAGCTCCCTAGGGTGACACAGGCCATCAGAAAGCCAAGGAGTGCATAGAAAGACAGTTGCTAATTATGGGGTGAGACCAAACCCAAGCAAGCAGGGTGCTAGAAAGGTTACATTTATTTTCTCTTTTATCATCTCAATAAACTCATGAGGTAAGTCGTCTTTTTACCTACAGAAAAACAAAACAAACTTAACTTCATAGAGAATAAATGACTTACCCAAACTAGTATTTTATTTCTTGTAACAAATAATTATTTCCGAATAGCCAAATCAGTCTTAATAAAGAAAAAAAAAGCTGGAGGCACTATACTTCCTGATTTCAAATATATATTACAAAGCTACAGTAATTAAAACAATATGGTGCTTGCATAAACACAGACGTACAGACCAACAAAACAGAACAGTGAGCCCAGAAACAAACCCACGCACATGCAGTTAACTGGTCTTTGACAGAGGGTCGAGGATACAATGGGGGAAGGGTAGTCTCTTCACCGAATGATGATGGGAAAACTGGACAACCACGTGCAAAATAATGCGACTGGATCCATATCCTACACTAGTAAACAAAAGTCTAATTAAAGCTTGAATGTAAGAGGCGCCTGGGTGGCTCAGTCGGTTGAGCGTCAGACTCTTGATTTCCGCTCAAGTCTTGATCTCAGAGTCGTGGGACTGAGCCCCACATCAAGCTCTGCGCTGAGCATGGAACCTGCTTAAGATCCTCGCTCTTCCTTTCTCCCTCTGCCTCTCCCCTGCTTGTGCTTCTGCTCTAAATAAATAAATGAATAAAAAGGCTTGAATGTAAGACCTGAGATTATAAAACTCCCAGAAGAGGGGCACCTGGGTGGCTCAGTTAGTTGAGCTTCTGACTCTTGATTCTGGCTCAGGTCATGATCTCAGGGTCGCGGGATCGAGCCCCGTGCTCAGCGGGGAGTTTGCTTATCCCTCTCCCTCTGCTTCTCCCCTATCTCGTGCTCTCTCTCAAATAAACAAATAAATAAATAGAATCAATTTTGGGGGGGGAAAATTCTTAGAAGAAAACATTCGGGAAAATATTCATGATATTGATCTTGAAAATGATTTCATGGATGTGACACCAAAAGCACAGGCAACCAAAGCAAAAACGGGTAAGTAGGGTCCTACCTTGAGGACATTACGCTGAGTGAAATAAGCCAGTCCCAGAAGGGCAGATACTGTCTGATCCCACTTACATGATCTGGCTACACTGGCCAAACTCACAGAACCAGAGAGTGGAGTGGTGGTTGCCAGGTGTTTGGGGGACGGGAAATAGGGACCTGCTCATCAATAGGGGTGACATTTCAGTTATGCAAGATGAAAAAGTTCTACAGGTGGCTGGTCAGCATTGTGCCTGTAGTTGACAAGATGGTATTGTGCACTTAAACATTTGTTGAGAGGGCTGATCTCATGTTAAGTGTTCTTACCCCAATAAAACTAAATTTAAAAAAAATTTCAAATGGTGCTTACTAAGTGGCAGGCACAGTTCTAAGGGTTTTACAAATACTAATGTGTTGAATCCATGAATAACTGATTTTAAAGGCACAGCAAGGCTCAGTACCTAGCCCAGGGCCACACACCAGGCTGCAGAGTGTTTGCAGAGTGTGTGTTATGTACATGAATCCAGGAAGGATCCCACAGGACCATTATTCCAGCTCTGCTCTGAGTGTTTCTCATGCAACAGGTGAGTCCCTGCCCACGGGCCCTCAAGGATTTCCACTCGGATGCAGGACGACAAAGCACGTCAATGCACTTTTCTCGTCCAAGACTTTGCTTTCCCAAGGACCTTGAGTGGTGGTGTTCACAGTGTGGTCCCTGCCCCGGTAACATTGACCTCTACCGGGAATGTGATAGAAACACAAATTCTTGGGCCCCGCCCCAGACCCGGGGTGAACACAGACATGGTCTACATTGATCTCTTATCACTTGGCCACCATCTTGGCCAGTTCTGGAAGGCAGGGCTGGCTTCCACAGAGGGTAGTCCTGGGACGGCCCTAAAGAATCTCACCTGAAATACGGATGTGCTTGGAAGAACATCGTTTCTTTCTTGGTTGCCTCGGCCAGGCTCAGCTTGTTGGTGATCTCCTCCTGCCCCCGGCACCTCACGATCATGTAGCCCTTCTGCAGACGGTACGTGAGGTTCTGCGCCACTTTCACGACCACGTGTTCGGTACCCTTGTCCACGAGATCTGGTTTGGTCAGGATTCCTGGGAGAGGAGTAGCCAAGGACAGTGGAAAAAGTCAGTTTTCTCCTCACATACACGTGAATGCTGCTAGGCTCTGGGATCCTTCCTCGGCCAGGACCTGGGAAGCCTTCTGGAGCTCTGGTGGTGCAGGGCCTGAAACCCCATTCACACATTCCATCGCCACTCCTCTTATCCGCGTCTTTATTTGCTCTCCTACTCACTCAATTCAGTCATTTCCTTGTGTAATTTATTGAACAGACATGTCTGCATCGTCAGGACAGGCTCCACCGTGTTCCCTGAAATGGATCATTCCCTGCTGGATGGACGGTCTGGGTCCCCCTCTAGTGTCTCCCGTCACAGACTCACTCTGCCCTCTTCCTGTGGGTGGGAGCCTCCTTGGACAGCATCCTCCCTCCCTCCCTCACCCCCTGCTGCCCCCAAGCCTCCCACTTAGATTGGATGGAATGCTTTGAATTCTGAGTATCGATTTCCACTCATGTTCTTGGGGTGTCAGATAGCCACTGCATCTTTCTGTCTATTTAGGGTGGAAACCTAATGTCATCTCCTACTCTATTTGCAGGTTGTTTTCAATTTGTGGTTCAGTCTGACCATCTGGCTTATCATTTCCTGAAACTTTCCTGGCATCTAAGCAGTTGAATTTCTCTCTGTTCTACCTTCCTATTACCAAAGGTGGTCATCAAGAGTGTATCCTGGGCGCCTGGGTGGCTCAGTTGGTTAAGCGACTGCCTTCGGCTCAGGTCATGATCCTGGAGTCCCGGGATCGAGTCCCACATCGGGCTCCCTGCTCAGCAGGGAGTTTGCTTCTCCCTCTGACCCTCTTCCTTCTCGTGCTCTCTGTCTCTCATTCTCTCTCTCTTTCAAATAAATAAATAAATAAATAAAATCTTTAAAAAAAAAAAGAGTGTATCCTTATACTCAATAAAAGGTCTGTGTGCGCGCAGATCTTCATGTTACTAAGGGAGCCGACAGGTCGCTGAACCTACGCCGGCACCTTCCACTGGCAAAGGAGAGGACCTTCCACCAGGAGGGATGACAACAGCCATGAAGACCCCTCCCTGGAGCCAGCAGTCATCCAGGGAAGGCTAGATCACTGAACTGTAGTCTGAGAAAAAGTAGGAAGAAGGAGTGAGGTTTGCAATGAGAACTCTCCCTCGCTGGGAAGAGAGGGCCTTCTCATCCAGTGCCTGAGTCTGAAGCCACGAATCCAGTAGGAAATACTCATGCCTCCATCGACAGCCTCAGTGCACGAGCATCAATTATCCAGTGTCCCAACTCTTGGGCCATGGAGAAGGGCACTGTCAACAATGTTTCTTCTTTTTAAAGATTTTATTTATTTAATTTGAGAGAGAGAATGAGAGACAGAGAGAGCATGCGAGGGGGGAGGGTCAGAGGGAGAAGCAGACTCCCCGCCGAGCAGGGAGCCCGATGTGGGACTCGATCCCGGGACTCCAGGATCATGACCTGAGCCGAAGGCAGTCGCTTAACCAACTGAGCCACCCAGGCGCCCTGTTTCTTCTTTTTAAATTAACTCTTTCCTGAGTACATTACATATTCATATTGAATTTAAAAATGCTTATTAAGCCCACTGCTTTAGGTACTGAGAAAATGGCAGTGAACAAGATTGCCAAGTCCCTGATTTCGTGACAATCCCCTCACCTTCTAGTGGGTAAAAGTCAGATAAATTAGTCTAGTAGTATACAAGCAATAAAGAAAAAGTATCTGCTATTGAGAAGTGCTAGGCAGAAAATGAAAATCCAGTCATGTGCATGCAGGGGCGGATGGTGCCGTGTTGGGTTGGGTGGACAAAGAAGGCCTCTGGGAGGGCAGCGTTTGGCTGAGATCTGAATGAGAGGAAGGAGCCAGCCCTGTGAGGATGGAGGAAGAGCATTCCAGGCCCTGGGGATGACAGCTACGCTGGAGAGTTGTGGGCAAGGCAGAAGCGATGGGAACCGCGATCAGAGAGGCATAGGCAGCCAGGTCACAGAAGGCTTTGTTGTCCAGGAAAGGGGTCCAGGGTTTATGTCTGTAAGGTGGGAACGTTAGGGTAGAAGCAGAGGAGGGGCCTGACTTTATTTACCCGCTTAAAGGCCAGTGGGGGGTGTGCTGTAGTGGGCAAGGTGAGTGCCTGGAGACCCAGTCGGAGGACGTTTGAGTCATCCAGGCAAGAGATGATGGGGGCCTGGTCTAGTGGTGAGCGTGGAGATGGAGAGGAGTGGACAGACTTGGTACAGTTTTGGAGACAGAGTCACGGGATTCCAGATGAATTAGACATGGAAGCAGGGGAAGGAGGAGTCACGTGTGACTCTCAGATTTGGCTCTAGAGTGGGGCAAGCAGGTGCGGTGCTGTGAGTGAGGCGGAGAAGCCGTGGGAGGGAGGAGAATTGAGGTGGGGCGGGGTATCAGGAGCTGTCTTTTGCTCGCATTACATCGGAGACATTTAATAGACATCCAAGCGGAGATGTCAAGCCTAGGGAGAGGTAAGGGTTACAAATTTAGATCTGGGAGTTGCCAGCACATAGAGAGACTCAAAGCCATAGACGAGTAAGCTCGCCTAAAGAGCACATGTTGATAGAGGGGAGATCTCAGAACCAAGTTTTGGGTTTCCGACATTTAGGGGTCAGAGAATGGAAGAAACAACCGGACAAGACTAAGAATGTGACCTCGAGTGGCCAGTGAAGGAGGAGACGGAGCGCAGATGGTGACCTGGGAGCCAGCGGGTTGTGTGTTACAGCAAAGGAAGGAGAGTTCGAGAAGGAGGGAGTGGTCAGCTGCCGGACTGGGTCTGAGGTGGAGAAAGATGGGGACAGAGAAGTGAAGGTGTGTGTCAGCATGGAGGGCATTGGCGACCTTACCAAATGGCATCTCTGTACCTTGGTGGCGACAGGAATCCCGCTGGGGCTGGCTGAGTGGGCAGTGTGCATCTAGTGGTTGCGGGGGAGGGGGGACCGGCCTCGCGGACAGCCTGCAAATGTACTGGCTCCCAGTTCTTTCTGAACCTTGGTATTATGTAAACCACTACTCTAGTAGTCATCAGCCTTGTTCTATTTTCACCCTTTGGAAGTACTGTATAGATAGGCATTCAGTTCTCTTTTTAAAAAAATGTGGCAAAATACACATAACTCGCGTGTGCAAGAGAATAATTCAACTAATGAAAATAGGATGTTTCCTCCTTCACTCCATCTTCGGTTATCCGGTTTTTAAAAATCGTGTATCTTTAAAAATTGTGGTAAAATCGGGCGCCTGGGTGGCTCAGTTGGTTAAGCGACTGCCTTTGGCTCAGGTCATGATCCTGGAGTCCCGGGATCGA